TTTTCTGAATAATATTTAATAATGCAATCCCCCATTGCAAAGAAAACGCGTCTCCATCAGAAACATCAAGTGGTTATGGAAATAAAAAGAATATGCAATGTTTATCAAAACATCTCAAAGAAAATGCCCACTTGGGAGATCTAGACATAGTTGGGACAAATTGAGTGTGAAGGTGGAGTCGGAAATCGTGTGGCTCAGGATGATGGTCTAACGGGGGTATTTTGTTAACACGATAATGAACTATCGGAATCTATAAAAGCAGGGAATTTCTTGACCAGTAAATTATAAGATTTTCTGAGCCATGGCTTGATTTAGTCGCTAAGTTCAGAGTAGCGTAACACTAAATCACAACTGTACGCCCTCCTCCCAGAATATGCGCGCTAGATGAGGCTGTTAATCCTTCATGCCACTTGAACCCAGGAAGCTGTGGAATCGGTAACAGAAACAGATGCGGATCCGTCGAGAGTTCCTTTGTATCGATAGTTGCCAGCTTATTTGACCACTTAACCTACATTAATACGGATTCCTCCTCCTGTCTTCGTAGCGAGTCTGGTCTCCGGTCGGCACGGTTTTCAGATCTGTCGTCAAACACCTGGCTCGTTTTTCTGTTTACTTACCGTAGGATCGACAGCGTTAGGAAATTTAATATTTCGACGTTTCGGTTTGACAGGACGACAACACGAACTAAAAAGACGGGTCTTCCACGAGTGTGATTTGGGAGGGAGAGAATTTAGGAATGCAGCCATAGCAGGAGGTCTCGTAATGTTGTATTGTTGACATCTTTATAAAAAAGTCGCAACGTACGTCCTTTTTTTCGGAGCCTTTTATTTTAGTGAAGTTAACATTTACTACAGTAGTCGTCACTAAATTGCTTCCTTCATTGTCACAACAGAATTGTAAAACTTGGCAATATAAACAACGGATACCTTAAATTGTTTCCTTCATTGTCACAACAGAATTGTCAAACTTGGCAATATAAACAACGGATACCAAATTTGTAATCAGAACTCGCAGCGTAGCAAATCTAGAAGCGATCTGCTTGCAATTTGAAGCCGCACAGAAGGAGGGACGGGTGAAGTCCTTTCGTGGTCTGGAAGATGAAATTTGGTGACAGCTACTATAGAGCAAATTTGTAATCAGAACTCGCAGCGTAGCAAAGCTAGCAACGCTGTAATTCTGACTTTGAGCCGCGCCATAAGAGGGAACAAGTCATTCCGTGGTCTGGAAGCATGAAATTTGGTGACAGCTACTATAGAGCGAGTATATGGACAAATGATGATCGATTCTGTGAAGTTATTGACAAAATGTCAGCACAGAACATAATACTATAATACCCTTGAATTATGAAAGATTCAGTGGTAATAATAACATCTTTAAAATTAGGTAAAGATAATTTGTTATCCCTCGAAAAGAAATCTTAATAAGTTGCTTTTTTTTCCTTCTAAGAAACGCCATATAGACAAATTTAAATAAACTTTAATTCAATGGTTCAGAATTGCGGTCTGTTCTAGTGGCTTATTCCTTTCGGAACACCGTGTAGAACTCCATAAACACAAAACAGGTGACATACCCCAGTGGAGAATGGACCGCCACTGGCTAAGCCGATGAAAGTACGACAGGCCTACGTAGGCACCATGCCTATTGTTCCATCCCGGGCAGATATTTCTTGTGTGACGGGGGTGGTCTGCAGTGTGTGTCCATGACAACGATTTAATGAAGTAATGAAGCCCGATCCAACTCCCCTCTTCACAACAATCGTTTGTATTCACGTGACGACGATGACTGGACCAGCTGCTTTTCTACAGAAAACCAGAAGGAAGGAGAGATGCTGAGTGTTGGGATGGGTCTCGAAGGATTCAATGGCGTGGTGCTATGGGACTGGACTTTATGCCGTAAATAGTGGCTTCAAGGCCTAGGAGGTCATGTGTGAACATAATATTCGATGAATTGAAGTGAGAATGAAGATTCTGTCTTCTGGGTTTGTAGCGCCGTGCAGTCTGGTAGACTTTTACCGACGTTTCAGAGGTACGAGAGAGTTGGACAGCTGACACAAGTACTTTAGCGTGTGTTTTCTAGAACTTTCAGCTTTTTCAGATTTTGTGCTAAGGTTGATGATGAACAAGTTAATATTTGGGCTTATAGTCTGACACTGTTCTTGGCTCTGTTGTGACAAATGAGTCATCTGATGGGATTCTCTTCTTGCCAACAAGGAGGTGCCCTTAATTGCGGATTAACAGTCTTATATGGTGCTTCGAGGCTCGCTCGCAGCTGAAAGATGTCATGTCTGCCCGTCCCTATGTAACGACTCGAGAACGACTGAACGGATTTTCACAAAATTTGATGCAGGGTAGTTCTACTGAAGTTTCAGACACATCCCGTTTTGGTTGTTTATATCTGTCTTTGTAAGGCAGTAATTTGAGATGGGGCATACCACTGCTGCATCCCTTCCACCCCCGGGCCTGTTTTTCATCTTTTGTCGTTTTAATTGGAACTTCACATTCGAATGTGTTGGAATTTTCCCACAAAAGTGGCAGTATGTTTCCCCATCCACATCCTCCATTTGTTCCAGATGGGGGATGCTGGCCCTTGGGTGTTTGCTCTCTTTATGTTAACCCCCCTGTGACTCAGTGTGACCAGCTGCGGCTTTGTGATGACTTTGATTAGTTCCCCCCCCCCCTGCCCTCCGCCACAGCTGTACCTCTGCCGCCCTGTTAACCCGCGTTTATTCCCTCTCATCCTCTCAGAATTAATCTGGGCGCAGATCGATCGATCGATCGCTCGCTCTGTCTGAGCGCCACACCGTGCAGTGGACAATTATTGCACGGGAGAGCATGACTCCCAGTTAGGATATTATTCAAGTACTCGAAATCTGACAGTTTTATTGGATTTTCACGTTTATGGAATTCAAAATACGTTATGAAAACACTCGCAGTTGCTGTAGAACATTTTAGGATTCCGAAGGATAAGTTGGTTGATTAATGGATAAACCAAACATCAATATAAAAACGAAACATAAAACTTTGCCCAGGTTTCAGTAGTGACGTTTCCTTCATATGCATTCTTAACCGTTATACTTCAAATGGCTCGATTTCTTTAAATTACATTCACAATTTTTGCAGTTGTGCTGCTTCGTATATCGGACGTATCCATTTCGAATCTGGGACACGAACAGTTTGTCCGTAACGAATATTTTTTTACTCTTGTCTGTCCTTCCAAAAAAATGGCGTGGTCGTAGCCTAACTCAATTCTAATAATTTTAATTTTACGACTCTAAGTTGAGACAGCGTGATAAATAAATCGAAAGTAAGTCGCGCACATCAATCAGCAAGGCGTTTTAAAAACACAGTCGTACGTAAAAATTTCTAGTTGGAAAACCTGAAGGAAAGAGTCACGTGGGAGACCTAGAAGTAGATGGTCGGATGATGTTAAACAGTTTGGGGTGGATTCGTGAGGCGCAGGATAATGTCCTGTGGCGGGCTGAGCGACTATCATCAGGGTCTGCTCCGTCGGGTTAGGTAAGTTATATAAATAAAATCCAGAATGCTACGCCGATGCGCGAATAATGAGGCAGCAAGCTTTGCAAGGAATTTTTGGCACATGGCGTTTTTGGAAAGCGTCGATAATAAAGAAGACGGAGTGCGTCGAGCTGCGTTACGCGGCAAGTGTTCCAAGAGAGGTGGCGGCCGTGCCGCTTGGGAGACTGACCGCGGAAGATTGGTGGACCGGAGACGCAAGGAAAGTTTCAATTTTACATCTGATGCCAGCAGATAAAAGAGATCAAACGCCTATAATAATTTGGACGTGTTCCGGAAAATCGTATTAACCTCATTTACAATAAAAAAAGAAGGAAAACACTCCAGATGAGAATTTTTTTCGATCTCAAATCAACAAGTGTGGAAATATTTCCCTTATTTTTGAGTACAAGTGTTTTCCAATTGCGTTAATTTTCCAAACCTTAGTTTTCCTGTGTGTTCAGTTAATTCAGATAAAATAATTGAACTGGCTAAATTTATGCGTTGTTTAGCTTTTTATTTTATTATCAACTTAGCAAAATGCTTCGTACAAAAAATGTATTGGAAATACAATAAAATGTTGTCACCGTTTTCTTTACTTTTACAGTAAGACAACTTTACAAAATAAAATTCCAAAAAAAATTATATGGATGGGACACAGAAACATAAGTGAGGAACACAGAAGTAACAAAAAATAGTTGGGAAAACCAACCATTTTGAGACTTAGGTGCAGACAGAATTGTGCTTTAACTGACCTTCAGCGTTTATCCCTAAATAAGTGTATGAGTTATGTATTATTACGTAGGCATCTTGTTTTCAGAGAACGTGCAACATGTGTTAATTTTATAGAAATTCAGACATATCAACTAACTGGTAATCGAACCCTAAGATTCAGCACTGCTAACAACGCAGTTCAGTGCTTAGGACTGTGTTCCTGTTCGGTAGATCCCGGGTTTGTTTCTCATAGTTTTCCTCCATTCAAACACTGAATTAGAGTTTTAAATATACCGCGATCAATCTCTTCCACATCATTCTGACTTTGCGGGTTACGATTATTTTAGATTAAACTCATTATAACTTCTACAACCGATAAAGTGTCGTTAAACAACCCCCCTCCGAAAAAAAAATATTGCAAACCAAACCCCGTCAAAGGACAGGATTCTGAGAAGTTTGCATCGACAATTCTATATTGTAAAAATCATTTTAATATCTTAATATTTAGGCTGTCAACAGCGTTATGGAAATACAACGAATTACGAACGCACAGAAACGGAATGAATAAGGAAAGGAGAAAGAAATGAAAGAATGAAAGGAAATATGTAAACTGGAAAGGAAGGACGAAGGACGAATGATATAACTACAAATTCGAATAACAGAAAAGTATGAATTTAAAACAAATTAATAAGAAACCACAGAATTCAAAATATTACGATGTTAATACGCCAGACTAGAATTCACTATGAAAACTAATACCATATGTTTACACACTTGACTGTTTGATGATGTAGCGCGCCTGGAAATCCAATCACACGCGTCATCTGCTACGTACCCAATCCAACCCCTCGCATTCAGTTGTTCTGGCCAGCGCCATGTTACTGCCTGCCTTATATGAAACCTGGGGGGATTAATATGTGTGTGTTTGACTTATGGCCATTTTTTTCCGACGTCAACTTTAATTACAACCTGCTACACCGTTAAAATGAATCGGACTCAAGAGTTCTTCCATGCTGTCATGAAAGTACGTAATAGCCTGTGATGTGACGCAAAACTGCAACGATGAACCGTAAAACATGTGGTATTGAAATTAATTCTATGCCAAGGACATTTCTCTGCTGGCATGGAGAATAAAAACCACGACAACATGGCGGTGCCCGAATTTATAACTTGTGTTGGGCAAGGCCGTGGTCTAGGCAACACGGAGTTTTCCTCCGGGGGCTTCCCCGGTTTCTCCGTGGCATCCCAACAATTACCCCATTCACACACAGAAGAAGGCAATGGCAAACCACTCCTGGATCATCTGCCAAGAACGTATATGAACAAG